GTGCCCAGTTTGAGTCTGCCCTCTTTAATCGGGTTATGGAAGCTTTGGGTATCAAGCGATCCCGCTCGTCCGTTTACCATCCTCAAGGTAATGGACTGGTAGAGCGATTAATCGTTCGTTGCTGGATATGCTACGTCGTCATATTGGGATCCCTGATTGGGTCTCCCATTTGCTGCGTTACTTTGGGTTTACAATACTTCTATACACTCGGTTACTGGGTTCAGCCCCTATAAGTTGATCTTTGCTCGTGATCCTCCCTCGGATTTCTTGCCTATGCCAATGGCTGCCACAGATCTCATGTTTGACCCTGCTACCTATGAGGCCTATACTGATGCTGTCCGTGCTTACTTAATGGATCAGGTCGATATGGCTATTACTCAAGCAGCGGGTAATGCTAAGCGGCATTATGATCAGAACCTTGTCCCGCAAGGATTCTTTGTTGGTGCCCGTGTTCTGCTACGGCTGATGAAGCATCAGAGACCTACTAAGCTCTCCCCTATGTGGGAGCCTAATTGGTTTATTACTCAGATCATAGGCTCTACCGATCCTATCAAGGTTGTTCGCTTATTTCATCTTCCGACAAGACGGGTTAAGGTTCTAAGTGTTGATCATATCAAGGTTGATCCTCTTCAACCTGATAACATCGAGGAGATTATGCAAGAGTTTCCTCCACCTCCTCGTGATCCTCGTGAACCTACCCCGCCTAGTATTCATGGCTCTGTCATAGTCTCCTCTGACGGACTTCCTCCAGAGCAACCCCACGTCCGTTTTGAAGGGTTAATTGGTGCAAATGATGCAGTCTTTGTACCATCAAGGCCTCAACAACCTGTTGTTCGTCCGGGTAATCTCATTGGTGAAGAACAACGGTCAACTTTACAAGTTGGTCCTCAACGTCCTAATTGGCAAGGACTTGACTCGTTTCGCCCGCAAGTTGTGGTGACTGGTCCTCCACAAGTTGCTCCTGCGTATGTTACAGCTCCAGAAGTTCGCCAAGAAGCTCAACGTGATGATAACGGTCCTACCATCGAGTTGGTTCCGACCTCGCCTAGTCCAGCATCAGTGGTAGCTCCTGCTGGTCACCAAGCATTATCACCTGCTGACCCTCCCTTGGCGTCCGTTCCTTCGGGTGGTACTACAAGTCAACCACCTCCTGTAAGCCCTCAGGAT